GGGGTGGACACGAGACGAGGAAGTTATTTGAAACTGTAGCTGTAGACGAAAGATGGGGAAGAATGAGGAGAGAAAGGGAAACTGTATCTGGTGGCGTTTCGTGAGACAGATGGGCAGGATAGAGTCTCCTCTGGCTGTACAGGTGGGTCAGGTATTCAGAATAATAAAAACGGAACAAGACCATTTAGAGAACAAAGCGAGGATATCCGCTTTCATCCTGCCAAGATTTCGGTGCCTCACTTTGTGCATTGTGTGTGTGTGTTTGTGTGTGTGTACATACATGTGCTCATCAAACAGTAGTAGTAGAGAGTAGGTGTTCTGCTTGCTTTAAAGTGTGTGTGTGTGTGTGTGTGTGTGTGTGTGTGTGTGTGTGTGTGTGTGTGTGGGTGTGTGTGTGCACGTAATGCGAGAGCTGGGAAGAACAGTTGAGGTTATCCGCTGCAGGGTGTGGAGTTTCTGGGACAAAGTGCGTAAACTTACTGCTTTTTATTTGAGGCTTCCTGTGAAATATTCACACCTTTTTATCGCACTGTAACTGGAGCCTTTGTGACGCGGCTTACTGCAACATTGAATTCTGGATGGAGGACAGGCCTTTACCTTTGACCTCGAATTACAGTGCGTTTGCCTCGTGCCGGCCCGCGAAGAAGGCTTTTAGCACAGCGTCGCCTTGAACGCCGGCCGTCAACTTTATTTTACTGAGCTGCCCTTTTAATGTCGGCCCCTTTTCTTCTTCTTTCTTTTCAGCCAGCGTATCTCTCCCTCTGCTTTACTTGTCAATACAGGAAGAGTTCACTCACATTTTTGTTCCTGAATAACTTTGCTAATGGTCCTTGGCCATAGTTTGAAATCACACACACATTCAGACTCTTTGTCCAGCGTGTGTGTTTGCTTTCCTTTTGTATTCTGCATTTAGCTGTCTTGGCAGTTTAACTTGTTATTACAAAGATATGCAACGGTACACTTTCCAGTGTGACCACACACACACACACACACACACACACACACATTTGCACCCATTCTGCACACTGTTGGTCTTTTACATCGGCTCCTCAATCACCCAACGCCTTCAAAACACACAGACATTAAGTGCAGCCTTTGACTGCTTATCAGCAGGTTTGCATTGGGCTTATCTGGTTGACATTGTTAAACTACTTTACCCAGAATGCTGCGGGAGATAGGGGCACAATGGGAGGCTGGGGGTGCCCTCTGGGTTAATGAGAGAGGGCTTTCACGTCGTAGGAGCAAACATGCCACAAGCGCATTTCTGTGTGCGTGCCTGTGTGTGTGTGTGTGTGTGTGTGTGTGTAGGTGTGTGTGCGAAGGGTCAAGGTGTCAGAAGGTGTGGCAGTTTTTTTTATTGTATTTCTTTAGTTTTTTCAGGTGGAGGCTGGTGGATGGGAGCAAAGACCACATCTAAAGCCCCAGTCTAGATGAATCTACATGCTACACAACGCGAGCTGCTCAATATGCATGTGTGTGTGCGTGTGTGTTTGTGTGTGTGTGTTATTACATGCTTGTATTTGTGCAAATGTGTGTATCTGTGTTGTGTTTTATAACATGTATGTGGAAAAGAAGCTGAGAGAGAGGTGGTGAAACATTGAAACAGTACAAATATGGGGATTGAAAAAGGACCTGTGTGTGTGTGTGTGTGAGAGAGAGAGAGAGAGAGCGACAGAGACAGAGAGATTGTGTGTTGGGTGGGGGGGGGGGGGGGGTTCCAATCCAGAGAAAGCCCTCCATTTCGATATAGCCTGAGCATGTCACTGAAGTGAATGAATGGCTGTCAGCTGCAGCGGGATGCAGCTTGTGTGTATGTAGATCATTTGTATGTGTGTGCGTGTGTGTGTGTGTGTGTGTGCTGGGGTATATTCAGGTCACTCAGAGTGGGAGTAAGGAGATCAGCGGTCCTCTCTCTCACCTCATCCATTGTTCATATGAGCCACTGCGACCTCGCCACCGGAATCCATCTTACTATCAGTGTGTGTGTGTGGGTGCGTGTGTGTGTGTGCCCGTGTGTGTGTGTGTGAGTGTGTGTGTGTGTGTGCGTGTGTGAGAGAGACATTGTAGATGTCCGTCTAGCCAATCTGACTCATTGTGCAACGTGTTCTGTAGCAACAGATGGTAGGTTACATAAATCATAGATTCTTGGCCGTGTGGAAGTCTTGTCCATGTTCTCCTAAATTACACCAACAAACCTCCACTGTTGTTTTTATTTCCCCCCCAATTGTATGACTTGTTTCACTTTCTGGCCCGTTTCACAGGATAAAGAAAATAATGTTATATTTCCCACAGATAAGTGAACCAAATATAGACGTTAAGGCAATATTTTGCTCAACAATGGAGCAGTTTCACCGATCTAAGACGTCAGAGGATTTGGTTTCCTTAAAGAGCTTTTTAAACTCACTGTTTAACATCAGTGTTCAACGATCAGTAAAATCTATTGTCAAGTGAGAGTTTAAACTATTGGTAGTGGATCTATGGGTCAAATGATAAGAAATGTATCATCTTATTATCAAATCATACATTGTCTCTATTTTTCTAAACTAACTGTGTCTGGTGTATTGAGCTCAAAATTTGGGGGAAATTTAACACATGAGGAGTTTATTTATTATTTACGATTGATAATTATTTATTTATGTATTTCGCTTTTTCAGCCACATTTTACAGGTTTTAATTGGACACTTTTTTTTCTCTCATTTTGCAGAATTACGTATTTTTATTTAACCTTTATCTACAGCTTATCTTTAGTGTGTCTTATTGTCTTTAATTTAATTAATTTACATTTAGAAAATAATAATCAGAATTTTGTGTGTGTATTTTCACTAAATATAGACGCTTTCTAGATAAGGAAAACACATTTATAAATCCCTTTGTAAATTACCAAATAATTTAGTTTTTCATGTGAATGACACAGTCAATGAGAGACCAAGGGAGGTCTTTTAAACTAATAATTCACATTTCAATTGACTTGCGTTAGAAGGCATAGGCATACATTAATACACTTATTTTTGTCAAAATAAAAGTGGTGTAGTTCCAAACATATTATTTGGAAACAGATTTTCTTTCCCCATTTACCCATGTTGTGCTTTAAGTTATAAAGAAAGGAGACAGAGCACAAAGAGCAGAAAGAAGAGAAGGAAAAAAGAACAGTGAAGAGGAGAAAGGGATTAAGAAGAGCAGGGGGACGGAGGAAGAGGAGGAGATGATGAGTGTTTCATAGACAGTACTACAGAGTAGTGGCTCTGGGTCATCTAGAGTCAAACTCCCTCCGTGACCTCCTAATCCACACGATATTAACACAAAACTGCAAAAAAAAACACCACGATGATTTCCCCTCCTTCATGCAGGCACCACACACAGATACACCAGGTCGTGCCTTACTGCGAGCAGTTTTGGTGGTTTT